AACTCCATCTAAAAAAAAAAAAAAAAAAAAAAAAAAAAAAAAAAGAAGTGCTCCCAATTCCCATGTCTTCCCAGAGCCAACAACAATGCCACCACTCTTGTAATTAAAACAAAACACCTGAGCTTCAGGTGGTATCACACTCAAAAAAACATCAGTTTAACAATGGAAAGATATTGACATGACATTTAAATATTAATCAAAACTTTGTTCAAAGGAACATTCATAACATACTTCATATTCTCATTTTTCTCAAGCCTGACAGCTGCTCAAAAGAACTCTTTTTTGTTTTGCTTGAAAAATCCCCTAAATTCTTTCAAACTAGCCCATACTGACATTTATCTTTTTCTCTCAACCCATTTATCTGACAAAACCAGGTGATCAAATCAACATATATCACTTTGGTAGTAGCTGATAGCTATTTCTTGACCACAAGTAAATTGCTGTCATTTTCAATGTCAAATATTAAATCTCCTCCCTACCCATATGCTATGGTTCGAATGTCTCTGCCAAAACTCACATTGAAATTTAATTGCTATTGCAACAGGATTAAGTTGGGAACTTTAAGAGGTGATTAGGCCAAAGGGTTCTGCCCTCCTGAACGGACTAATGCCGTTATCTGGTTATCTCAGGAGTGGGTTAGTTACCGCTGGATGGAGCTCCTGATAAAAGGATAAATTCTGTCAGGCGCGGTGGCTCACGCCTGTAATCCCAGCACTTTGGGAGGCCGAGGTGGGTGGATCACGAGGTCAAGAGATCGAGACCATCCTGGTCAACATGGTGAAACCCCGTCTCTACTAAAAATACAAAAAATTAGCTGGGCATGGTGGCACGTGCCTGTAATCCCAGCTACTCAGGAGGCTGAGGCAGGAGAATTGCCTGAACCCAGGAGGCGGAGGTTGCGGTGAGCCGAGATCGCGCCATTGCACTCCAGCCTGGGTAACAAGAGCGAAACTCTGTCTCAAAAAAAAAAAAAAAAAAAAAAAGGATAAATTCAGCCTCCATTCCCTCCCTGCCTCTTGTTTACTCACTTCTGCCAAGTTATGATGTCACCCCGCAATCTGGGACTTCCCAGCTTCCAGGAACTCTGAGCCGAATAAACTTTCGTTGTTTATAATTTACCCAGTTGGTGGTATCCTGTTACAGTAGCAGAAAGCAGACTAGACATCATAACATAGAAACAAAGGCACAGAAACCCAGCCAGCAAAGCAAAAACTGCTAAGAAGGTAGAGCAGGAGAGAACCTGAGAGTAGCCAAGGGGGTGGTTTTGTTTCAGATCACCAGCAAAACCAGAGTGTTGAACCAGTTTGTCATTCTATAACTCGATGCCTGAGATCCCTTCCTAACAGACGTAGGTCACTGGCTTTTGAACATCATTGCTGAGAAAACATGAAAGAGTAAAATGTAGCTTAAATCTTCGTGTTTCACTTTGCATGGAGTGTGATTTTCAAAGGAACTTACAGTTTTGCTACAGGTTTGGAGTTTTTCCTATTTTCTTACTTGAAGCTAAGGTAAAACGAAGCCTTCCATTTTGTTCTATAAAAACCTCCCACAAACATCAAGAACACAAATATAAATGCAATCAGGTTTAGATCATGTTGAGAATGTAAACCTGAACACAAAAGCACCTTTGTTTCCCAAATTAGCATGTCTTTTAAGCTCTGCTGTGTGTGATTTATACAATGTGAAGAGGGGGAGGTCAAAATGATGCTTTTCAACACATTTTTATTTGGAGTATATAAAAGTCAGTGAATACAGAAGGCACACTATCAAAGGGGAGCTTCATCTCATAAAAGAATAAATAAAACAATGGAACTGTCAAGTATACCAAATGATGTAATTAAGAGTCTTTAAGAGTCTTTAGGATTGTTAAAGCTGCCTTTTTTTTTTTTTTTGAGATGGAGTCTCATTCTGTCACCAGGGTGGAATGCAGTGGCAGGATCTCAGCTCACTTCAACCTCTGGCTCCCTGGTTCAAGCGATTCTCCTGCCTCAGCCTCCGGAGATGCTGGAACTACAGGTGTGCACCACCACACTCAGCTAATTTTTGTATTTTTTTAGTAGAGATGGAGTTTCACCATGTTGGCTAAGTGCTGAGATTACAGGTGTGAGCCATCACACCTGGCCTAAAGCTGACTTTATACACAAAATGATTGCTTATGATGTTAGTGAAAAGAGAAAAAGTTTGGCTGACCTTGGCTAAGTAACTAGAATGTTTGTTTCAGACAATAAATGTAACTTCTCCGAAATTCCTAATCCCGTGTCATATTTTCCTCCCCTATAGTTATACAATTCAAACATCAACACTTTAAAATATAAAAATTAATGTAGTGTAATGGGCATAATGTGTTTTCTATTGTTGCACCTGCTTTTTTCTCCCTTTTTTTTCTCTCTTTTCTGACTTTTATAGGCTTAACTGAGTAGTTTTTATAGTTCCATTTTATCTTTTTTATTGGCTAATTTTCTTTTTTGTTGTTGTTATTTTCATGGTTGCTTTAGAGTTTATATCGTCTCTGTGTGTGTGTGTGTGTGTATATATATATATATATAATATATACATATACCACACACAAATATACACATATATATTTTATAATATACATATATAATATTTTTGAAAGCCTACATTCAAGTGATTTATAACATTCTATGTATAGTTAAGAACATTACAGTAATATTCTTCTATGTCTTCTTAAATGGTCAATTATCTTTTAAAGAACTTTCAGTAATAAGAAATAAATACTGTATGTTTGCCATGTACCATTTCTGATGTTCTTCCTTTTTTATGTAGATCCATATTTCCATCTGGGATCATCTCTCTGCTAGAAGGACTACCTTTAACATTTCTTAAAGTGCAGGGCTGCTGGTGGTTGATTTTCTTCAGCTTTTATATCTCTAAAAAGTATCCATTTTGCTTTCATTCTTGGAAGACATTTTGGCTAGGTATAGAATTCTAGATACACAGAATTTTCATTTTAATGGTTTCAGATGTTGATCTACTATCTTTTTATTTATATTGTTTCTAACAAAATATCTGCTATCACCCTTCTATTTGTCCCTCTCTTCATAACATGTCCTTCTTTCCTCTGGCTATTAAGATTTTCTTTTCTTTATCACTAGTTTTGAGCAATTTGATCAAGGTCAACCTCAGAGTAGTTTTCTTCAAATCTTTAGCACGTTTGGGATTTGTTGAGTTTTTCTAATATGTAGGCTTATAGTTTTTGTCAAATTTGGAAAACTGTGGCCACCATTCCTCAATTTTTTTTTTTTTTTTTTTTTTTTTTTTTTTTTTTTTTTTGTTGACAGCGTCTCACTCTGTCACCCAGGCTAGAGTGCAACAGCATGATCTCTGCTCACTACAACTTCAGCCTCCTGGGCTCAAGTGATTCTCCTGCCCCAGCCTCCTGAGTAGCTGGGCTTACAGGTGCCTGCCTTCATGCCCAGCTAATTTTTGTATTTTTAGTAAAGATGGGATTTCAGCATGTTGGCCAGGATGGTCTTGAACTCCTGACCTTAAGTGATCTGCCAACCTGGGCCTCCCAAATTGTTGGGATTACAGGCATAAGCCACCACACCTGGCCTAAATTTTCTTCTATCTTTCCCCTTTTCTTCTCTTCTTTGGGTTCTTTAAATGTACGGACTGCTCACGGTTGGCCCACAGCTCACTGATGCAGGTTCGCTTCTCTTTACGCTCTTCCCTCTGTATTTCATTTTGGATAGTTTCTGTTGTTATATCTTTGAGTCAACTAAGATTTTTCTTCTGCAAGGTCTGATGTGTTGTCAAATCTCATTCTGTGTATTTTTCATCTCACATTTTGTAGTTTTCTTCTCAGAAAATTCATTTGGGTCTTTTTTACATTTCCTGTGTTTCTACTTAACTTTCTGAATATATGAAATATGCTTATAACTATTTTAATGTCCTTCTTTGGTAATTCTAACCTCTGTGTCCATTCAATTGATTTTTCACTTCCTTATGTGTCATATTTGTCTAATTCTTTTCATGCCTGCTAATATTTTTGGATATCATACATTGTAAATTTTATCTAGTTGATGCTAGCCTTTTTTATATTCTTACAGACATTCTTGAGCTTTGCTCTTGAGCTTTGCTCAAGAATGTGTTTAAGTTATTTGGAAAACAGTTTGATCCTTCAGTTCTTGCTTTTTTTTTTTTTCCTTTTTCTTTATTTTCTTCTTTTATTCCCTCTTTTTTCTTTTGTTCCTTTTTTCCCTTTTTTTCCCTCATGTCAGATGAGTGATGTGCTGACACCATAACAAGGTTTAAGGCAGCGTATCTCACACTTGAGCATGAAAACCCAATCATCATGCCTATGAACCACAAAAGGATTCAGGCCTTGCTCTTAAGATTTGCTAGGTCGAACCAGAGCAGCATTTAATCTGGGGTTATTTATTTTGTGTGGCCAAAGCAAGATTCTTTTTCAGTGTATCTCGCTGATGGTGGCAAACACTTCATGGCCCTGTGTCAAGGCCAGATACTGACATACTATTCCTTATAATTTGCACACTTAACACTTCTGCACACTCATATACTGGTTAGTCCTCTTCTGAACACTCAAAGGGACTCTCTGAGGATCTCGAGAGTCCTTTCTCTCTTTCTCTGTCTCTCTCTAAAGGTCTCTCCTTTGCAATACTCTGGTCTGTGACTTCTGGCTGTCTTGATGTCCCTGGACTCTTAGTTCTGTTCACTCAACTCAGGGAGTCTGCCAGGCTCTGCCTGTGTTCCCCATCCCTACACCATGGCTTAGAACATCTCTTGAGGCAGTAAGCTGGGTGACAATAAGGCTCACTTCTTTTTTTCCCATCTTTCAGAGATCGCTGTCATTTGTTTCCCGATGTCCAGTATCTGGAGAGGCATTGTTCCACGTATTTTGTTCAATATATTGGTTGTTTCTGGTGGGAGGACAAATCTAATCCCTGTTATTCCATCTTGTCTGGAAACAGAGATCAAGAAAATGACAACTTTTAGACTTAGGTCTCAACTTTTTAGATTTTAAATCTAAGAAGGCAAAGGAATCTAATCAGGCAGGAAAAATTGAGGTTGGAAATGGAGACTAATCCAGAAATACTTTAATATCCCAAAATTACTTTGGCCTGCCATAGGATCAAATCTAGCCCTGGCTCCACCTGTCATTACGGCTCCGGCATTCTCACCTTCCCCCTTCTAAATCCTTCACTCTTAGGAGATCTGGAGGGTCCATTTGGCTCAGCCTGGTCTTTTGGGAGTGTGGGGAGTACAAATGCTTTGAGAAGGGTTGGAATGGTTATGAATACCACCATGCCTTCCCAAGTATTTTTTGAGTGCCCATTATTGTCCATGTACTATTCTGGGATTATAGCAGTGATCAAAACAAATCTTCCTGTCCTCATAGATTTTGTACCCCAGTAATCAATGATAAATACCTTCAGAACAACACAATATAGAATTGCTATAAGCTTTGATTTTACTGAAAAAGAAAAATGTGCTTGCTAGCAAGATCATAACCTAAGCTGAGACGAAAGGCAGGCTAATCTACAAAAATTGTTTATCCTGTGTAAACATAGAATCTATTTAAGTCACCTTAGAGAGTCTTCTTCAGGCCATTTATAGAAAACATGAATGAAGCCCAGGGGAGAGTCTTTGCAGCAAAAAATGCTGAAGTAGGCTCTTGAGGCTGGAAATTAATGCTTTGTGAAAAAAACAAAAGCTGCTAATTTGTCTGCTGGCCCCATGAGATTATACATCACTGGAAGAGCCCAGAGAGTATACTTCAATTCACAAAAGGCTTTCCTCTAGCCTGCGTCTGCGTTGGTTTAGTTACCTCCCCTCCCTGGAACATAAGCACTGGTCACTCTCATCCCCAGCTTCAGGTATCCCAATTCAGGAGACCAGCTTGGGGCTGCAGTGGAAGGACACTGGGTGGGACAGACCCAGGTTTGAATTGTGGCTCCATTACTATCAAGCTGTGGGGTCTTAGTCAAGTTTCTTCACCTAGATGCCCTCCTTTGTCCACCCCTGAAAATGTAGATACAGCTGTTAAGAAGCTTACATGAGGCTGAGCGTGGAGGCTCATGCCTGTAATCCCAGCGCTTTGGGAGGCCAAGGCAGGCGGATCACCTGAGGTAGGGAGTTTGAGACCAGCTTGGCCAACATGGAAAAACCCTGTCTCTACTAAAAACACAAAAATTAGCTGGATGTGGTGGCATGTGCTTGTAATCCCAGCTTCTTAGGAGGCTGAGCCAGGAGAATCACTTAAACCTGAGAGGCAGAGGTTGCAATGAGCCGAGATCACTCCACTGCGCTCCAGCCTGGGTGACAGAGCAAGACTCCATCTCAAAAAAAAAGAAAATAAAAGAAAAAGAAAAAGAAAAAGCTTACATGAAATTCCTTCTGAAATATCAAGCTGACAGGCACAGATCAGGAAATCTTTCCTTGCATTGCATTTTGTCTTGGCAAAGGCTGTATGTAAAGTGTACATTTCATTGACCTTTGTCGGTCCAGCATCCATTTCACCTCTGAAAAAAAAAATCCCAGATTCTTTTGGGGGAATTATCTGTTCTTTACTGAATACATTCTAGTGGTCTGATAGGGTCTGCCTCTCCCTAGCTAAGGGAGTAGACACATGACCTGAGATACGTTGACCAGATGCTTCCTCCATGAGATTTGTATCTTCAGCAGAAGGATAAAGAAACTAAATGCATGTGAACAAAATAGCATCAGCCTCATCAGCATCTCTCTGCCCAGACTGCTTCTGCTGTAAGACTATTCTTATAACTCATACTTCCAGAAGCCCTGGGTACTTTGTTCCCTGTCCTTTCCCAACCCTGGTTCTACAGTCTCCCCTCCACTCAGCGTTACCTTTCCAGTGAATTTCCATTTGATTAGGTTAGCCATAGTACATTTCTGTGACTTACAATCAGAGAGCTCTATCTGATCAGCTGAAGAAGAGGAAGAAGAGGAGGAGGGAGAGGAGAAACAGAGAAGAGAAGAGAGAAGAAGGAAAGAGGAGGAGGGAGAAAGGAGAGGAGAAGGAATGGGGAAGAAAACATATTTTATGTCTTATTTGGATTTAACACAACTTGAGCCAACATTTTTGCTTGGCTGGCCAGCAAAGAGAAGAATTAAACACAAGGAACCTCAGGCTTTTTCATAATTAACAGATGACTGATGACCTACATAATCTATATAATAATGGATCTTCCCAATAATTTATTTCATTTACAAGCTCCATTCCCTATAATAAACATATTTAACAGGTTAAATAAATGAAGTGTATTACCTGCTTCCAGTGGGCAATCCCCTGCTATCTCACCTTGAATCCTCAGAGCCAGCAGGCACCAAATCTCCCAATTTTGGACACTGAGATTTGCCCTGATCAGCTGTACCTTCAGAGGTTCAGCTAATGGAGGTGCCCATCCCAGTTTTGGGAGGGTGGACAGGAGGACCAAAAGAGACTTCATGGAGGATGCAACCCTGAATCTGATCTTAAAGGAAGATCTCAGAGGACATGCTTAGATGAAGAATGAGGAAAAATGATGTTTGCAGAAGGAACAATGGATGCAAAGATGCAGAGATGGGAGTGCTGTGGGGAGGGGAGAAAAGCAGGGGTAGGGAGAGATATGGTCAAGATTGGGAAATAAATATAAAGAGGGTCCTTTTAAAATCAAAGCCTTTTGAGGTCAATGTACTTTTATCCAGAGATTAATAGAGTCTCAAGAATACCCAAGAGGCCCTGTTATATTGGTGAGGTAGAGAAACTGGAAGAAGTCCACATATTTTAGTGGTTTTGTTACCAGAAAAGAGTCCCAATCTAGACCCCCAAGAAAGGGTTCCTGGATCTTGTGCAAGAAAGAATTCAGGGCAAGTCCACAGAGTAAAGCGAAAGCAAATTTATTAAGAAAGTCAAGGAATAAAGAACGGCTACTCCGTAGACAGAACAGCCTTGAGGGCTGCTGGTTGCCCATTTTTATGGTTATTTATATGCTAAACAAGGTGTGGATTATTCATGCCTCCCCTCTTTAGACCATATAAGGTAACTTCCTGCCATTTCCATGGCATTTGTAAACTGTCATGGCGTGGGTGGGAGTGCAGTAGTGAGGATGTCCAGAGGTCACTCTCGTCACCATCTTGGTTTTGGTGGGTTTTGGCTGGCTTTTTTTACTGCGACCTGTTTTATCAGCAAGGTCTTTATGACCTGTATCTTGTGCCAACCTCCTATCTCATCCTGTGACTTAGAATGCCTTAACCATCTTGGAATACAGCTCAGTAGGTCTCAGCCTCATTTTACCCAGCTTCTACTAAAGACGGAATTGCTCTGGTTCAACACCTCTGACAACTTTAATTTGGAAAAGATGCAAAACTTTGAGGAGTGCCCAGAGAATGGCCAACAACCTCACAGATAGAATCCTGGGCACCTTTTCCTCTCCACCCACAAGACACTGTGCGTCTTCAGCCCTCAACCTCCCTGGAATTTTTCTATTACATCATCTGTCCACTCAGTATCTCCCCTAGATTTTACCTGTGTTTTTTATCAAACTTACCATCTTCCTCCAAAACTCACTGCTCCCCTTGTAATTCCTCCTTTAGTGAAAAACAGTCTGTCTTCTCCGTATAACAATGGAGGTATAAGCATGATGTAATGCTTTCCCTGCCTACACCACATTCAAAGTCATACACTACTGCTCATTCTTCTTCCAGGATTCAGGGAGACATCTGCTCCCTTCACCTGATTTTAACACCTAGTGTTCTAATCCAGGTCCCAATGTCTCTTACATGGATTACCTCAACCAGCCTCCCCATCATCATCTCAGCCTCCCCAAGGGCATACGCCATGGACCTGAGTTGTTAGGTCATGGGCTATGTGTCTCTAGCTTTCAGAGCAACTCTAAAATAAGATAAGCAGCACCTCTAATTGACCCTTCCATGTTTCTCCCTGAGGCAACTGGATATGGTAGCAAACATTATACACTATTTATCCCTTCCTTTAAAATCTATTGCTTCTGGCCGGGCGCGGTGGCTCACACCTGTAATTCCAGCACGTTGAGAGGCCGAGGTGGGTGGATCATGAGGTCAGGAGTTCAAGACCAGCTTGGCCAAACGGTGAAACCCTGTCTCTACTAAAGACACACAAAAATCAGCAGAGCGTGGTGGCAGGCACCTGTAATCCCAGGTACTCAGGGGGCTGAGGCAGAGAGTTGCTTGAACCCGGGAGACAGAGGTTACAGTGAGCCAAGATCATGCCACTGCACTCCAGCCTGGGTGACAGAGCAAGATTCTGTCTCAAAAAAAAAAAAAAAAAAAAAAAAAAAAATATATATATATATATATATATATATATAATGTATACACAG